CATGCTTGTTGTTTTTGTCTTTGCACTAGGATGATGTAAATGTGCAGTCATATTCGTTGTGTTCCACTAGTGATTTCAGGTTAATCTCGTTGAAATGACCTTAACGCACAACACGGCAAATCTCCGTTAACGAGCTACCGCCGATCGCTCTGTGCGTGGGGCTAGACGGCCAACACGTTAACGAGCTAACTGCGCTAACACACTAGCTCCCACCCATGTAATTGAGCATTGCATGGCACATCCAACATACTGTTTTACTTTAGTCCATGACTCGCTTACCTTCAGGGTCATACGTCACATGAAAACCAAAATAATTCCAAACGCCAGATCTGGAGAGCTTAACTTCTATCTTGCTAGCTTGCCCTGCGCTCTTCCTTCTGACGATGCTGTCTGTGTTGAGCGCTCAGTGGATCTGCGCTGGACAGTGCAGCCTAGGCGGAGTAGTCGAACGCAGATTCACTGAGCGTCAACACAGACAGCATCGTCAGAAGGAAAGTTGATAAAATAAATTACAAATGTTTGTATTGTTCGATACATATGCGTACCGAACCGAAAGCACTGTATCGAACGGTTCAATATCGATACGAATATCGTTGCACCCCTAATATATATATATATATATAATATATATATATATATATATATATATATATATATATATTATATATATATATATATATACATACACACACATACACACATATATATACATATACATACATATACATATATGTGTGTGTGTATATATAATGTATATACACACATATATACACACCACTACTGTAATCTTTTGATTTTTATATATTAACAAAAAATAGAAAAAAAACAAAAGAAGTCACAAAATATTAATATTATACTATTGTTTTTTCAAACAATATTATGACAATTGCTGGCATAGAAGTATTTATACACAATACTGAAAATGTTGAACCTCAAAAGGCAAAGACCAGCAAGCACAGCAGATAGCCGTTAAAAGCTCTGGGAATCCATTTCCAAGTAACTGACAGATTGGTTTCACTACACAAGCTCTGAGCAGTTACAAAAGATGAAGTGAACTAAAAGCATTTAAAAGCCAACTATAAAATCTCCACCCTGACCGAAAAAACGCTCCCAAAAAACCCGTAAAATATGCACATTTCAGAGCTGCCTAATTATCTGGTGCGAGACATATAATAGTAATTATAACAATTTAAATAAGACAATTTAAAGCATGGATCACTGCGATTTCACTCAGCAGTAAAAGTACCATTAAACGAGAGACTACATTTGCTATCATGGTTTTAGGGTCTTGTATAGTATTTGCTGAACTGTGGTTCCTGTTTTGATGTTAATGATTTCCTTTCTTTATTGTTATAATGTTTATATTTTTCCACTATTTCCTTGTCTTTGTCTTCATCTGTTTTTGTCCACTTCCTGTTTAATTTCAGCAAATCACTTTTCCTTGCATCCGTCTGGTTACCTGACTTGACTGTAGGGATGGGTACCGGTGTCCGGTTCTGACATAAACGGTAGTAACCAGACCGAAAAGCAGCGCACATTTCGGTGCTTTATTTCGGTGCTTTTTTTTCCTGAGCTGTGATACACTTTTAGCCAATCGTTTTACGTTTCCGAGGATAGTAGGCGGGGCCAGGTACGTACGTTCTGTTAGCGCAGAGCTACAGATTAAAAATGTCCAAGGCGAAGCGGTTAAAAGTCTGGCTGTACTTCACAGCAAAATATGCAAACTCAGCAGCAACAAGTGCTTTAAGCTGATACTGTGATACTGTCAAAGGAGGTAACACCTCGAATCTCATGAAACACCTGGCGACGCATAGCGTTTTTTTAAAAGCCGAGAAATGCGCTGTATTTGATGGCAGCAGCAGCCGTTCTTCTCTGCGTGAGTAGCTTAATGTTGTTCTTGTGTAATTTAGGTTGAGTAGGCTAACCACGTTATTACATTAATGCATGTAAGGTGAACTAGCAAACATCATCATAGCTACATGCGGCTGTCTTCTTGTTTGATGGCAGATACTCCCTTCACCCTGGCCAAAAAGGCTAAAATGACCAAAGAAGAAGTGGAAAACAGTTAAACATGAGAGGTTTTGGACAAAGTTTGTGTTTTTTCCATTGATTAAGCACTGCTTCCAGCCATGAGTGATACCATATATGCCCCATAGCTGCAGAAAAGGCTGACATTGTTATCTTTTTACAAAAAACAGCTGAACATGAGAGGTTTTTGGACAAAGTTTGTGTTCTCCATTCTTTAAGCACCGGTTTGAGCACCGTTTGGGCACCGGCACCGTTTCAAAAGTACCGATTTGGCACCGGTATCGGATAAAACCTAAACGATACCCATCCCTACTTGACTGTTTGAATTTTTATTCTTCATTTAGGAAGGTTTCTGAGTGAAGTGACCTGGAAGTGGCAGCCATTGAGATTTTCCAAACACAAAGGAAAGGAGCGCCACTGATTCCTTTATTAACTCTTTTAGCAGAGGATGCACTGGACCATCTTTTCTGAAAGCAGAGAAGATCATTTTAACTAATAATTCATGGTGATGCACCACCTGAGTAACGTCTATTGTTGTATTGCGAGCCTTTAGAATGATTATAAAATCATTTGTTATTTCGGGTTAGCTGTGAGTCATAAGTGATGGATGGCGGGGAATTTTACTTCAGCCATAGAAATCCTAACTAAGAAGTATCATTAATTTAAACCAAAATCATGGCATAAAATGAATGAATGAGAGAAAGGGGAAAAATGTGTTTTTGATAAAAGGTTAAACTCTTAAGTTTGTGTGGTCCTCAGGATTAAGGCTCAGGTGGAGTGCAGGATTTATACAGAGAATAAACATCTGGACATTTGACATCTGCGTGTAACACTGTGTAGAAGAACACAAGACATTATTTACCATCAGAACCCGAGCGGTCAGTATGTTATTGAAAATGCATTTAGTGAAAGTGCACATTGCTGTTTTTTGAGGGTTTTTTTCCCCAGCAGTCACACATTGTAACATTCGGGGGTCAAAAAATGAAGGCTTGCTTTTTGGATGTATTGCCTTCCTCAGCATCCTGCTTTTGCATCCCGTTTCCAATGTACATCAACATGTGTTTCATAAAGCTCTTCATGGTACAATGGTACTATGAATGGATAACTCATGTGTCGAATGTACAGCAGTGTGTTGCTGACCCACCCTGTGCTGGGAGAGGAACGTCGCTCTGACACTTGGTACATTCCCCTCGTGCTCCCAGAGATGCTCGAGTTTCTCTGGAGAGAGAGAGAGAAACACAAAGAAAACAAAGAGTCGGATCAAACGTGTTATTAATAAAATGTCCTGTTTCCCCATCATTCTCAAACATTATTTTACAGGCTGATCTTTTTTTTTTATGATGGAGAAATGCGAGCATACATATTTTACCAAAACACAAAGTACAACAAGACATTTAATTGAAGGACAAGATACTGTATGTATTACTAACAAACAGCTGTCACAGTAAATTAGAACTGCTACAAAAATAAATTGAGTACAGAAGCCTGCTTAAAAAAAATCTCACTGGAAGTGGAATGAAATCATAGAAAATGAAACCGCCGCCTATTTTGCAGTTATCTGGGGAAGGTTTTCTAAACGTATCTCAAACAGGCTCCGTTACTTCTGATTTTTGTCAAACAGAATACAATCATGACTAGAATGATTAACAAAAGTGGTTTTCTGATTAAAGGTAATTGTGTGCGGTTCAGTGACGTGTTTTCATCACATTTCATTTTCTTGATTTGTACTGTACACACGAGCAAGGCATTGGAACAGGATCATTGTCGTGAATAGGTGTGAGTGTAACATGATCATTTGTCTGTATTAGCCACACGACAGACTGGTAACCTGTCCAGCTGGCACAAACTCCTGCAGCCCTGAATTGGATAACCCAAAGAAAATGGATGGAAAGTAGTCAAAATATCTTTTTCTAGAGCAAAATGCTGGATGGACCTGACTGACTGAGCAATCAATACTTCTATCTATCCACTGTACTCACTGCAGAGAGAACCCTGTAATCTAAAATATTTGGTTGCAGCTCTGAGAGCAGGTTTTTAAAATGCATTTGCTTGTAAGTGTGCAATCTGACTCTCTGTGTTTGCCAGCGCAAAATCTTCCTTGTCGCTTTTTCACACCGTTCTCAAAGCTGCATGTGCACTGAAGTGTGCGTGTGTGAAGCCATGGCCAGGTGGAACTCTGTGTACCAAACCGGCGACGTGCCACAGAGGGAAAATGTGCGCAAACACAGACGTCTCCCTCCCTCTCTGCTCCCTCTCTTTTTCTCTGCTTCACTCACACAGCTTGTTTGTGGGCCACTGCCAGTGAAAATGGACCGTGGAGGAAACAGGCGAGTATCATCCATGCCTTTCATTCCTGGACAGACTGCAGTGAAGGCAGAGCAGGAGCACATCTCCAAGAAATGGGTTTAATCAAATGCATTCATCGGGAGGTATAACTCAATTTGGGTGACTTAAATTCGAGCCAAACGTCAGCATTTGTCTATTTCTACCTCTTCTGCTCTCTGTTACAAACCCAAAACATAATAAAGAATCACAGTCAGATTAAAGCTGCTGTATATTCCTCTCATTCTTTGTGAAAATTATATTACAGTCAGCCTGGAAAGAACAACAACAGAGTGAGCAGATAAACCATCCCTTCTCTCACCACCAGTCCTAAAATACCCCTGTCACTCTAAAACCTGTCTCGTAGGAAGATGAGGGCGACCTTTCTCAGGCCATATAGAGAGGTGGAGACACCCTTGACAGTATAACAAGGTGCCAACCAGTTAGTGCCTCCACACTTGTACTTGTCATGCTGATTACTCATAGTCCTACAGTGCACAAGCATGGAGACAAGAAACTGACTAAATGTAGGTAGTTTCAGGTCATTCACAGGTCATGTGGTTCTCTAATATTTCAAATCACAACAACAATCACCTTGAGATACTTTATATTGCAAGTTAAAGATCCTACAATAATACAGAGAAGCCCTAACTGTCAAACAACCTTTTATGAGCAACCACATGGCGAAAATGGGAATGAAAACTCCCTTTTAACAGGAAGGAAAGGACCTCTGGCAAAAGCATTTAACTTAGTGCAGATTTAGGGATTTCGTATTTAGTCACACTAAAGTACAAAAAGGAAGGCAACCTCCTTGCAACTAGTAAATAAAAAATAAGTATATAAATATCATATATAAAATAACCGATTGCAAGTAGTTGCAGCTACCAACTGGTCACCAAGTGTTTAAACATGCAACAGTATCAATCAGTTTCCATCATGAGGCGACTGCACATTTCACCTGATGGGAGGCAACCTTTCTCCAAACAATCACAGTCCAACTCAGACTGACTGAACTCTCAGACAGATTGGATAACCAACTGGTTTGCAAGCAACCGACATGTCATTTATAAACAAATTCAAACTGCCGGCACATTGCAATCAGTCTGAGTCAGTCTGCACTGACGAACGCAACACATCTACAGCATGTCTCCTTGTAACAGGGGCCTACATTGGTTATATTCTGGTTATGTTCCCATGTGAAATCGAGGTTGTTTATTTCCTATTTCATTTTGCAGTTAAATCTCCATCCTGCAGTAACTATGTCACCATCTGAACAGGAATTTCTGTGTGTATGAGGCTCTGGGTGAACTCTAAATGCGAGCAGTTAATGTGAATTTCTGTGCATCTTGCTGTCATCTGTTGCAACAGATTTACAACAGATGACAGCAGACTTGCAATTTTTACCATTTTATGACAGTTAATCGCCCATTAACCACACAGACTCTATGCCAATGCCAACTTCACCTCAATCAATCACAAACTGATTGCAGACTGGCTCTTGCAAAAAAAGAAGTCACTTTGAAAATGGAAACTGACTGCGAGTACTGTTGTTTCCCATCTTTAAAGGAACAAGATCGCAAGTTCGTTGCAACTATTGCAATAATCGTGATTATGGCACTGTCTCCAATCAGTGTTTCCGCTACAGTGTGACTGTAGCAGGCTTTTTGCCTGGTAAGTTGATAGTGGTTTATGGTGTTAATGTTTTTATAACCTCTTCTGAGACTGTTGTGTTCCTTGATACCTGCTGAATTTGTCAGTGTTAGAAAGGTTTGTGAGCTATGATGACTACAGCAGAAGAAGTTGAAGAGAAATACTTGTTTTCTCCTGTTCTGTCAGAGTCTGCCATGAACTCGGATGAATGAAATGTGCATTAGTGCATTCTTATCCTCATCATGTTCGTGGGCTGCATAAAATGTTACCAAGAGCCACACTTTAAAAGCCCTGACCTTAGAAAGAAGGATCACTCTGAATCAATACATTCACTCTTCTGAATCACCCCCTTTGTCTGCCCTGATGCCCTGAAAGGTTCACTCGAGGATGAAAATGAGTTGAATCATATGCTACGGCCAGATCTCAACCCAAGTGAAGAGCTACTGGAGAATTTGGACTGATTGGTCAGATAACATCCAATAATGGAATATCATTTGGAAAACATGTGGCCACAGTGGCCCAACTCCTTAGTAAAACACTTTATTTTGAAGATTTGTCTATAATTGGTCACCTGACTATAAAGCGATAACCCGAGGACGCCGACATCATCTGTGCACTCAGAGACGGTAATCCTAGGACATGATTCCTCTCAGGCAGCTCTGCACCACATCACATCTGATTAAAAATCATGCTGAAATCTTGAGCGAGAGCAAGAACTGTTTCCATGGCAGCATACACATTAGTGCATTGTGAAACAGGTGACCCCTTTTTTTTTTCCATAAGTGTCGTACAGTAATTTGAATACGTGACATTAAGAACAGACTCTGTGTGCTTTTATAGCTTTTTTTAATCATTGTGTAATACGGCAAAACAAAAGGAGCAAGGAGGCATGGTTCAAGCACCGAGCCTGGAGATGAAGAGCTGCATTCCAGTTTTCTTTTTTAATAGGAGCACACTTTCTGATCAGGATGTACCGAGCTGCACAGCTTCACTGTTCCAACAGCTTTGATGCTGAATGCTGTAACAACTGTAAACTGTACCTACTGTAATAATCCTTGTGAAGGAAGATCACACTGATGAGTATAAAATAAATGCTTTGTATTTATCAGTTCAATATATACAGCTAGGCTTACCCCATATCTTTGAAGAAAGGAATTTGTTTAATCAGTTTATTTTAATTGAAAGCACTTTGGTTATAAATGTGCAATATAATAAAATGCACTTGCATATATAGAGCACATGGTTATTAACAAAATCTAATCTATAGAAACATTATCTCTTGTACAACGATATAAGGACTCACTTTATATCCAAACATATAACCTTAATAAAAATCTGCACATTTAACTATGGGGGGAAAGAATATGGGGATTCTAAATATGACTAAACATAGCTTGCATCAAATATCACGTCACGTTTGACCTCTGATCTCACTTTTAATTTTCACATCTGCCTTTCTAACAGTTGACCGTAAACATGTTAGATATTTATAAGAGAGTATTGCAAAGGAAAGAGACTGAGCTGTCTAGTTATCTAGAAATATCCCGTAGTATAATATGATATAGTATGCACAGGTTGTTCGTGTCAGTTATTTACAATCATACCTATTTCCATGATTATCTACATTAAGTTTACAATACTATTAAATATAATGCAGTACTATTCCTTAAAGTAAATACTGCCAGCAATGTTCCCTCTAAGCTGTGCACGTGCGCAATTGCGCACTGCTGCCACGGTGTCTGCGCACAGAAAATCTGTGTTGCGCCAAAATAATCTAACCTGCATTGAAATTAAATTAATACTTTACATTCTGTTTGCAGTGTAGTCAGTGAGTGATGTCGGCCCGTATGGGATTAGAACGATGCACCTTATCCCATAGTCCAGCAATATGCGATTTACATTCGTATATACGCAGCTAATCACGTCGTTGACAGGCTATGACGCGTCTTACGTGCCGACACCGGTGTTTTAGCTAACAAAGCGGCGTGGCTGATGTGAAGTGAAGCCACATTAATGACAACGTGGACAACCATTGGAGATGTGAGCAGGACAGACGGAACAACTGACAGAAAAGTGTGGACTTTATACCAGCGTTTAAATCGTGTTGATAGGCACGTAAACCAGAAGTTATGATAAAATATCTGCAATGTTTGGTTTCCTTGCTGAATACTATCGTTGTTTATATTTACTGCGGGAAGAACTGTAAAAACGGCGTTTTATAGAAAAGGTTGAAGCGCTCTCCGCCTGTGAGCAAAACAACTCACCCTCTCTCCCTTTCCTATTCGTCCAAAAAATACATGTCGACAATCAAAAAACTGATATGGCAACGTGACATCTAGTTGTTAGAAACGGGGGAAGTTTTAGGAGTGAGGCGGTGCTTTGAGATGTGAGGAGATTTGAGACGTTTAGCGCAAATCTTATGTAGTTAGTGTTAGTGTAGTTTTGTTGTGTGTGTCAGACAATGAGGCGATGCTGATGTTACGTGTTACAGCAGTGATACATCTTCTGTTGTCAGGCCTGCAGGTACCAGGCTGTTGTTCTCCTTTATCTCATAGTGGACAGAAATTATTTTTTGAAGTGGCGCAATAATTTGTGTGGCATCAGATTTGATGCAGAACAGTGATTGTTCTGTAAATAGTTTGAAATGTTTATTTAAAACTGCCTTGGCTGCATTTAAAAAAACATAGCTGCAAAAATCTTTTGGTTGTTTGCCAAACTGAGTAACCTTTTTGAAGAAGTAGCTATATAATTAATTGCCAGCATTGGTCATTATATACTATAGAGAGCTACAGGACTCTCCCAGACCAGACTCATAATAAAGTCAGAGCTTTTTTTAAAAAGAAAGAACTTGTGTTTGTCAAAATTGGAGTTCAAGTATTTGTACTTCCATAGTGTTAACATACTGCACAGGTGAATGACTAATTTTTTTTACATTTTCATTGTAAGTGGCTAAGCAGTTAATTAAAGTAGTCTAATAATGTAATGCTGTAATTTGATTATTTAATAAACCATGTAACTTGGATGGATTAGATGCTGGCGTGACACAGTGCAACGTCTGATGTCGCTCACAGTGGTCCAAGGACCGGCTCAGGGAGTTTGTGTGTTCGCTCGACACGTGAAAATTAGAGGGAAATTGTTGCCAGAGAGTGACGTGCGGCAGAGGTTTGTCTTGTTTGTTTCTTATGTTTCACAGAGGGTAATAATTGCTCCGAATAAGCAACAATAAAATATCAGAATTGGTGATCACTAATCCAGAATATATTTATTTAATTTCACTGCTCATATGTGAAAAACAGGCAGCGACTACCTTCAGTTCAGTAAAACAGTAGACTTGCTGTCTCAGCATCTTGAATCTATTACCGGTTCGAGCTGTGGTGCATTACAGAGGAAAATCAATACATTATGGTTATGTACTTTTCATCAGCACAAGCTGCTTGTTAATGACTGCCGATGCTGGAAGTGGAGTTTCTGCAGTTTAGGAGTCTTAGAGTCTTGGAAGTGAAAAAAGTCACTACTAATGTTAATGAACATTACTTATTGCAATAAACTAAGAATGTTACTTACTTTTGCCAGTTAAATAATATGCCAGTTAAATGTGCTACAAATACTAGAAAGTTCATCGGAAAATCACCAACGAATCGGTTGATAGGAGCAGTTAAATATTTAAAAACCATTTGTAATCAGGTTTGTTACGTATGGCACAAAATATGTTATTATTTATGCATTTATATATTTTTTTCTTTTGACAGGAACTATCACACGTTCATAGTGTGAACCTACAGCAACGTGTATTCAAAATCTACTGGCGTCCGTTGCCTTCGAGGCCTGCAGGCTGCAGCGTCCAGGCTGCCGTTCGGCGTGGTGCCACATGCTGATGATTGCAGCTGTTTTTCGGCCCGGTCGGCTCGGTCAGAAGCTCCTCAAGACTGCTGCAAGCGTACCTTAGCGTTTGCTTCACGGGCCGCCGTCTCTGAAGGAACTGGTCATCTGGGCGACCTCCCTGTGGGCACAAGGGAAGAGGTGTGAACCTTCCTTCTTGCTGGAAGCTAGGATTCATGAAATAAGATATTTGGAGGGATGTGGGGAAAATTAGAGATCTCCTAAACCTCCTTCATTCAGAAACATTCATGTCTGATGCAACACAAGTTTATTAATGCATGTGGGTACAGATTCTGCTTCAAAAGCCTCTCTCACGCATCCACCAGCTGTACCGCCTTTTCTGAAAACAGACACCGAGGGTTGATGACAGATAAATAAACAATACACACAAAAGCAGAGGAGTAGAGGGTGAGAGAGCAGCTGGATACTTGCACTGCAACACAGCAGGGCAATTCCTGTCATTTCAAGGGACAGTGTGTGACCCAGACAGCCTTGGTCTTAATTTCAGGGCAGTTTAATAGTCTCAGATGCATTTGCATTCAATTATAGTTGCACTAGTTTCTGTAATAGCTTCCTCTGTTGGCACCATATGTGGTGAGGGGAGTAGGAACTGGTAGAAGAGAAGACAGCTTACTGAAATCAATGACAACTTGTTAGTCAGCTGCAAAGCTTCAGAACAAAGCTTCTATCAAGGGATATCATAACTTATCTAAAACTAATGATGGACAGTTTCCGACCCTAAATGTCTCTAAGAGTGAAGTGACCCAGAAGTATCTGTGTGGCAGCCATAATAAGAGCTGCTCTAGATACTGAGGAAAGGTGCTCTAGTGCTTCCTTTATTGCCTCCTTTAGGAGAGGACACACTGGACCATCCTTTATCCAAGTAAAAGAGGTCATTCATAGCATTTAACCAATCATAAAAACAATAACATAACTGCTAATTCAATGTTAGTTAAGAATGTGTTTTTGCATTTCATGCCATGACCTGCAGGTATGATTTGACTTTTGACACCAACCCACAGTTCCTAAATTACTTACATCAAAGTTAGTTTGAACTTGATTAGGTTTCACTGTAGTTCATTTGTATTTGTTTTTTTTAAGCACAGTCAGATTCACCTTTCTTCATACTGTGATACTGATTTGAAAGTGATTCGGAAAAAGAGAAAGGAGGTAAATTTGTCTGCACTATTCAAATGTACCGTAAGTCAGATGAGAGAGAAGCTGATCCTACTGACTTAGAGCTGAATAAAGGCATAAAGATAATAACAGATGAATAAACAGGTAAACAAAAAAAATGCAATGAAAATATATCAGTAAATGAATGAAAGTAAATACAATAAAAGGAAAGTCTTGCGTTTGCTTTTAAAATCTCAACAGTCTGAGCAGCCACCAGGTCATCAGGTAGACTGCTCCATAAACATGGAGCACAATAACTAAACGATATCTTTGTGACTGGGAACCTTAAACCAGCAAGACCTTACAATTGGTGTAATGTGGCCTCCCTCTCTGGTCCTTGCAATACGTGCAGCAGAGTTTTGAAGTAAACGCAGTGGCCAAGATTTCTCTGGAAGAGGATTGATCTGATCGATTAATCCTGTAAGTGTGACTCTGTGTCTCTGCATTAGCTTAAAAAAGACACGGTCAGACTCTTGCAATGTGCTTGAAATAATAAAACACAGTAACTTATTGTGGGCAGAAGAGACAAAGCTTTAGCTTTTTAGCTGAAAATAATAACAGCTTGAGTAGATGGTATTAAACAACAAGCAGGTCTGAACACATCATAAGTCGGACGAGAGCAAGTTCCACAATTTAGGACCCACAGTCCTTTGGTCTTTTGAAAAGTTTTCCCTTGTTGCCTGATACAAACTAAAATCTGTCTTTTACTCATTTCCAAATCTACAAAAATATGTGAATATAATATTTAATGCTCATCAATCCAAATGTCTACAGCTTCCAAGGTCTTTTTCCTTTATTGGTCTCTGACTGTATCCATACAAACATCCCAGTGTTTACCGTCTAAACAATGTCAGAGAGGAGAGCTTATTAAACTATCTGACCTTCAGGAAGCAAAAGAAAGTTCAGAGGATTCCTGCAGACATGGAATGGAGACATATAACCCGTGCCACTTCAATTTAAATGGATTTGTGGTCATGAAACAAGCAAAGCCACTTATTTCATGTCAAATTAATGTCAAACATCCGCTGTTGCTAAACCATCATACGATGCAGAATCCAAAACAGCAACAACACGCACAACTTCCTGAAATGGGGACAAGCTGAGATAAAAATAGCTTCGAGCCTGGCACAGATAACTTTTCTTATCTTCAGGCAAAGATTATAAAAAGAAACGACTCCAGAATTAGTCAAGGTAGCAAACTGTAGGCCAGCAATAAATGTGCTTTAACATCAGTGAGTAAATAATCAGCGAGTCTGGAAATTATGTCAGAATCAAACGGCTTCTCTCCACGATGAAATGTGATCGACTGTGATTAGAGCTCGGAGTCACTTAGTAATTGCTCACAACTTAGATAGCATGATTTTTATCAAGTGCTCACTAACCGAATTGTATAAAGTTGAGCCTACATTGATTAAGAGGCCTGCTACTGTACACTATCTACACTACTCGAGATAAAAATCTTTGTGTTTATGTACACAGAAAACATTAAGCATGTGTGTCTTGTTGTAAACTGTCTTATCTCACCATCACCACACTGTTAATTCCCAACGATGCATCTCATTATGTTTAGTTTTGCAAAAGGAAAAAGAGGAAAATCCAGCCCAACACATTTAGGTGATTTGATGACCGGGGACAAACTGAACATGTGAGGATCTGGTTTTAGCCAACATGAAGATAACTGTTCAGCAGAGAACAACATTCTCCAGAGGACTTTAAGTCTTTAGATATATTTAAATGAGTGCTGTCACCGTTAATCTCATTACAATGACGTTAACGCCATAACTGCAGTAACGCGGCAAATCTCCGTTAGCGAGTTAACGCGCCTCAACACGTTAGCGCGGTTAGCTCGTTAACGCGTTAGGGACGATCCGCGTTAATGCGGTTATGACATTAACGTCATTTTAACAAGATTAATGCTGACGGCATTAATTTAAATCCAAATTTTAATGTTATGTTTACACAGCTTGTCTTTTTCCTGTCTTTCTCCGTTCACCCCAACAACTCTGTATGCTAGTTGAAGGGCACATGACCCACATGATGACTACGAATTCTGAATTCTGTATGTCAAGTTTGGATTCAACTCCTGATCATTTAGGACTGACAGAGATTTTGTGAATTTTAGTGTGACGTATATCACACGTGTGTGCTACACGGTGGGTAGCACTGTTGCCTCATGGCAAGAAGGTCCTGAGTTCAATTTCACCATCAGGCCGGTGCCTTTCTGTGTGGAGTTTGCATGTTCTCTCTGGGCAGTCTGGCTTCCTCCCACAGTCCAAAGACATGCAGTTAATGGGGATAGGTTAATCGGTAACTCTAAATTGCCCATAGGTGTGAGTGCGAATGGTTGTCTGTGTCTATGTGTTAGCCCTGCAGCAGACTGGTGACCTGTCTAGAGTGTACCCTGCCTCTCGCCAGCGCTCCAGCCCCCAGCCACTCTGAAAAAGGATAAGTGGAAGAGAATGGATGGATGGTATAGCTCAGGACTGGTCTTAATTGTCTTTCTGTGTAAAATCCACTTTACAAATAAAATTGCTCCGCCTCAAGGAAAAGAAGGGATAAACAATAACAGAAGAACCAGTGATAAGAGTAGTTTCCTCTCCTCTTTGTGCAATCTAGATGAGCTTTCATAGATAATAAGGTTTACACAGAACAGTCTCCAGTCAAATTAACCATTTTAGTGAATGATTGTAGTTCTTAAGGCTGGTGACTACTGCCCTCTTCAAAAACCATATGGCAAATGATGGTTGGAGGAGTCCTAAAGTCATAATGACGTAAATAAGCAAACAGCTTCTGCAGATTATATCATTAAATCATCCTACACTAAACATGCATCTCATTATGTTTAATGACTTCAAGAACTATTTACTTTGATTTAATAATTAGATCTGTACATAATGAGATGTCTCATTAGAAAACCTGAAGCTGACGTTTTGTTCTCATTATTCGGTTTAATAAACAGAGGACACAACGACTGAGTATTGTTTTAAGTTCAGCCTCCAGAAAAGTAGCAAATATCCATTTGAGAAAATCCTGGAATAGACATTATTGAGCTTGGTTAGTATGCACTCAAAATTAGGGCGCATGTGATTCAGGATCTAAATTTTCATGCATCTTTAATTTGTCTTAATTAATTATTCAGCTGTATCAGGAGATGGATACACCAACCCCGTGATGGACGCCACACAGGAACACTTTTCCCATCCTTCCCCAATGCTGCCTGACAGCCTAACAGACGCTTTACTCGGTCTTATGCTAACGAAGAAGGAAGGAAATGAGGCGAGAGAACAAAAGAACACGATTGATGGTAAAGGATGGTCAGAAAGGAAGAAAAGGAAAATAAATATTTCTGTCAGTTTTTGGTAAGATCTAAATTCAATAAAAAAGACAGACAAGGAGACGAGAAATAGGGAGCTGAAGCTGAAGAGGAAGGAAGGGCCACAACGACTGTGAGGAAAAAAAAAAATAACACACTGCAGAAGCTAAAAGATCAGACAGCAAACAGAAAGCTGCAGTCATGTGGAAGAAGAAAGCACAGGAGGTTTAAGGAGAGGAGGGAAATGGGATGTAGCTGCTTCCTGTTGTCAATCCCAATTTTTTTTACACACGCTGACATATTCACAACACCTCACTCTCACACCTCCGAAAAAATACCTCAAGGTGATAAACATGCCTGGGTGTTTACCTGGAAAAGAAGAAATCCCATCTTTTCAGGCTATTCCAGGTGAACATTAGCCAATGGTGACATAGAATTTTGTCCTTTCATGCACTTTTCAGTGATCTTCATAGTAAACGACACAGCATACATCTTATTTTCACACTATTTTCTATAACTTTGAGAAATAATTGAGACTTTGTAATACCAAAAAAAAAACAGCTGAGAGTTTAGTGAGAAGATGAAAGTTTCTCTGACATTGGTAAGCTGATGGTTAGCTTACTTAACAAAAA